CCTGTGTCCCTGTCCCCCCCACCCCCGTCCCCCCCATCCTTAATAAAAATAGATGGGGAAAAAAACCCCATCTGGGACCCCCAAACGCAGCGCCCAAACACGAATCAAGGAACATGAAAGGCACTGCAGACTCCTTCAACCAGAGAAGTCAGCCATAGCAGAGCACCTGATTAACCAACCTGGACACAGAATTTTGTTTGAGAACGCAGAAATGCTGGACCACTCTCACAACCACCACATCAGACTACACAGAGAAGCCACTGAAATATACAAGAAGCATGTGGACAATTTCAACAGAAAGGAGGAAACCATGAAAATGAACAAAGTCTGGCTACCAGTATTAAAAAACCCTCTAAAATTGCAACAGCAAAACAACAGAGGTGAAACAAACAAGGACATCTAATCACCTCTCAAGAAAAGATTTCCCCAGGCACTACCAGGCCATCAAATGCTAATCAAGGTGGTCAGTTGAAACATTCACACCTAGCTCCAGCAGACAAGAGTCCTTTGTCCCACCCTGGTCATTCCACAGATATATAAACCCTTTTTCCAAGTTTCAATCTCACTACCTCTGAGGATGTTTGCCATAGATGCAGGCGAAACATCTGGAGAGAATGCCTCTAGACCATGGCCATATAGCCCGAAAAAACCTACAACAAGCCAAAAAAACCCATTGCCGTCTCACAGACATGAACTCAATGAGTAAATCACGGGATGTGTGAGATCCTTGGGCTTTTGTTTCATTGCTCCAGCACAGCAAGAGCACAGATATAGCTGGAGAAACAAAATATACAGTGTCAAGAAAGGGGGAAAGAACTCCAAACCACGCACAGAGGAAAATAATAATCATAATCATAATAATCCTATCGTAAAATATTTTTTATAGGATTTCGCCATCATCCCCCCAATGCTGCAACCTCATCAATGAACTCAGGGCTGGCTAATTATTTCAGGGTGGAAATATTTTAAAAACCCATTTTACAACATTAGAAGAACTGGTTTCCCCATCTGCAATGCTATATATTTATAGAATTGTATCTCTCAACAAAAAGGCCTCCTTTTTTCATCCATGTGTGGGCACAGCCGTTCCCAATAAGCTCTCAAAATGATTTCATACGGCAGGGATGCTGGGAAGAAGCATTAATTTTAAATCATTCCCAGCTTAGACAGGAACGTTGAAGGAACAATAGGCAAAGGGCAATGGAGCTGAAAACTGAAAGTAAAGCAGATGCAGGGATGGGATGGAGACCACAAGCGGGAGAGAAGGAAGGGTAGATGGAAGGGTGACATCAGGCAGAGATGCATCGTGTTGTATCCCAGAGCAGAAACACCTCTGTCCTTGAACACCACACCAGTATAATAAAATCGGCAAGCAGTTTATTGAAGGATATATGTAAGCAAAACAGTAGAAATGGTAAAAAGTATAGTCCAAAACAGGACACAAGATAGTCCATGGACTTCAAGGCACAAAAGTAGATGGAAGGGTGGCATCAGGCAGAGATGCAGTGTGTTGTATTCCAGAGCAGAAACACCTCTGTCCTTGAACACCACACCAGTATAATAAAATCGGCAAGCAGTTTATTGAAGGATATATGTAAGCAAAACAGTAGAAATGGTAAAAAGTATAGTCCAAAACAGGACACAAGATAGTCCATGGACTTCAAGGCACAAAAGTAGATGGAAGGGTGGCATCAGGCAGAGATGCAGTGTGTTGTATTCCAGAGCAGAAACACCTCTGTCCTTGAACACCACACCAGTATAATAAAATCGGCAAGCAGTTTATTGAAGGATATATGTAAGCAAAACAGTAGAAATGGTAAAAAGTATAGTCCAAAACAGGACACAAGATAGTCCATGGACTTCAAGGCACAAAAGTAGATGGAAGGGTGGCATCAGGCAGAGATGCAGTGTGTTGTATTCCAGAGCAGAAACACCTCTGTCCTTGAACACCACACCAGTATAATAAAATCGGCAAGCAGTTTATTGAAGGATATATGTAAGCAAAACAGTAGAAATGGTAAAAAGTATAGTCCAAAACAGGACACAAGATAGTCCATGGACTTCAAGGCACAAAAGTAGATGGAAGGGTGGCATCAGGCAGAGATGCAGTGTGTTGTATTCCAGAGCAGAAACACCTCTGTCCTTGAACACCACACCAGTATAATAAAATCGGCAAGCAGTTTATTGAAGGATATATGTAAGCAAAACAGTAGAAATGGTAAAAAGTATAGTCCAAAACAGGACACAAGATAGTCCATGGACTTCAAGGCACAAAAGTAGATGGAAGGGTGGCATCAGGCAGAGATGCAGTGTGTTGTATTCCAGAGCAGAAACACCTCTGTCCTTGAACACCACACCAGTATAATAAAATCAGCAAGCAGTTTATTGAAGGATATATGTAAGCAAAACAGTAGAAATGGTAAAAAGTATAGTCCAAAACAGGACACAAGATAGTCCATGGACTTCAAGGCACAAAAGTAGATGGAAGGGTGGCATCAGGCAGAGATGCAGTGTGTTGTATTCCAGAGCAGAAACACTTCTGTCCTTGAACACCACACCAGTATAGTAAAATCAGCAAGCAGTTTATTGAAGGATATATGTAAGCAAAGCAGTAGAAATGGTAAAAAAGTGTGTGTTTGTGGCAATGAATATTGCCTTGTAAACTGCCTTGAGTCGCCAGAAGGCTGAGGGGGGCAGTATACAAATACTATATATATATATATATATATATATATAGAGAGAGAGAGAGAGAGAGAGAGAGAGAGAGAGAGAGAGACCTGTCTATCTTGTCATTGCATAATTGGCACTGAATGTTTGGTTTATATATGTTCTGTGATCTGCCCTTTGAGGTGGAATATAAATAATGTAAATAAATACAAATAATTTGGATCAATTCAGAATTTGCTATCTGGTGTTGGTGTCTATCCAACAAAGGCTTAGGAAGAAAGTCTTACCATCTTACGTGAAGGTAAACTAAGCATTTGCCAAAGAGATAGAGCTTGGTAGATGCAGGCATCAAAGGTTGGCTTTGTCCTTTCTGTTAGAGAAAAAGTACTCTAAAATAGAGCAGAGCACCCAAAAACTAACAGGATACAAAAGTTGAGCATCAGCTCTTTTGCGAGCAAAGCGTGAAATGCCATGTGATGTGGCTGTAAAAAATTCAGAGCTGAGAAAGCAAACATGCTGAACCCAATCTTTAAAAAAATCACAAAACTTTTGTGTACAACTAGCCATCCCCTGCCATGCATTGCTGTGGCGCAGTCTGTGTATGTGTTTTGTGTGTGTATATATGTGTATATATGTGTGTTTCCCTATATATATATATATATATATATATATATATATATATATATATATATATCACATACGTTGTAATGCATCACTTGTTGGACTGAGAGGTGTCTTGTGTCCAAATTTGGTGTCAATTCGCCAAGTGGTTTTTGAGTTCTGTTAATCCCACAAACGAACATTACATTTTTATTTATATAGATGCATAAGAAATAACTGCATTTCCTAATAGTCAAGAGCTGGGCCTGAGCTGCTCTAAACCCATCTCTTCTATGGTTTCATGAGAGGGAAAAACCTAAACACTTCATCTCTCCTGACACAACACAAGCAGAGAGAGATCTCAAAGCACACAGAACATACGCTCCAGACTCAAGTGTTAAGAAGCAGATTCAAATAGGCTTGCAGTAAAAAAGCAAAAATTTTAAACAAGCAATCAGAATGAGAGCAGAAACAGTGAGGAGAGAAGGAATTATATACATTCCCAGCTATCATACAGGAGACATGGGGAAAGAGAATTCCCCTCAGCCTATAGTAAACTAACTAACTGCTCCTCGTTGAGGACTTGAGACTTGGGCAGTGTGGGGTTCAATTCCAACACTTTCATCACCTCTAGATGCAGATGCCACTGCAATAATGGCAGCAAATGATCAGCTGGCAACATTAGAGGGTAGTTTGTGGGCTGATGCTTCTCCAATGAAACACATGTGCTGTAGCACAGGGCCGAGTTGTAGCATAGTTGGTTAATCACCAGCTGCAACAGATCACTGCCGACTGAAAGGTGACAGGTTCGAAGCCCGAGTCGGATTGAGCACACGACTGTACAGCCTAGGTTACTGTCTACCTAAGCAGTTCGAAAACAGCTGAGCTGTGAGTAAAGAAATTAGGGACCGCTTAAAGCGGGGAAATATTTTACGACACCATAAAATGCCAGAGGTCAAAGAGCAAGGAGGAAATACGATTAAATAACCCGGTGTCATACTGGATTAAGCAAAAGCTCCCCCGTGGCCAGAATCGAGCATAGCCTCCAGGCTTTCCGTACTGGAAATGCCATACTGGAAATTTCCAAACTGGAAATGCCAAAAATACCTCTATATGTCTGTCTGTATAATTAGAAAATAACACTGAAAGTTTGTTGTGTATATGTGCATTGTGATCCGGCCTCTGAAACAGCTAAGCTTTATACCTGAATTGTTCCAGTTCTCTTAAATAAACACCATTGTTTTGTTGTTCACAACATCTGCCTCACGTGTGCCTCTGTGGGTGAAGTTTTAAAGCAGTTTCCTGCAGCAAACAAGAGTCTATGGTGGCAGCATATAATTTAAAGAATAATATTTTAGTGTTACCTCAGAACACAAGCCAACACACTTTTGCCTAGATACTTCCTGAAAGCCAAGGGCTTATCAGTGCTTTTAAGTTTGGTGGTGGCCAGAAGGTTTTCAAAAGGTTTTTCAGCCAGAAGAAAGTTCCAGCTTTCCTTGCAGCTTTTGTTTTTGGGTTTCAAAACACAGAAGCCTCACATTCCATTATACTTGGTGGGATTTATTCCCAAATAAAGCCTCAACCCCTTTATAGTATACATCTCCATAAGATATTAAGATATCAAGCTCAAACAAACCCCTAGAAGGCCCAATATCATGCTGTTTGTAGTATGGAAATCAGGCTGCGAAAGCAACTAGAGGCAAGATGGAAACACGTGTGTTCAAGGCACTCACCGTTGGGTCTGTCCACAGGGAGCATTTGGCGCAATCCTGGCAGGGGGCTCCTGGGGAGCGGGGGTGCTGGCAGAAGTGGTCGTACCCGTTAATGGCGGCTCGGCAGAGGTAGCACATCTGGGCGCCACAGCGGCACGACATGCGGTTGCAGCCTTCCGATTTGATCAAGCCGGTCGCGCACTTGTGGCATTTCCGAATGCGGGCTGCTGTCATCTTCTCCTCTCTGAAACAGGAAAGGGGAATAAAGGGTAAGGTGATGTCCTTCTCCAGGGTCCGGGTTCAAGATTTCGGAAAGCACGAAGATGGTCACAGTGGGAGCTCCTGGAACCTAGAGATGGCTTGGAAAGACCTCGGCCTCAGTCAATGGACAGATGCTACCAAACAGACTACACCAGGACTCTTCAACCTGCAGCGCTCCAGATTTTTTTGGACTTCAGTTCCCAGAATTCCTGCCCACTGAACAAGCTGGATAAGGCTTCTGGGAGTTGGAGGCCCACATCTGGAAAGTTGCCACATTGTTTTTTTAAAATCGTGTCAGAAGTGACTTGAGAAACTGCAAGTCACTTCTGGTGTGAGAGAATTGGCCGTCTGCAGGGGCAATGGTGATTGGCACACTGGGTGCAGTGCCTCCAGACCTTGGCCTGCACTTAAACACAATCGACTCTGACAAAATTACCACCTGCCAGCTGTAAAAGACCACCCTACTGGGTTCTGCAGGCATTATTTGTCTATACATCACACAGTCCTAGACACTTGAGAAGTGTCCGACGTGTGATCCAACACAACCACCAGTGATCTTGTTTGCTGTGGGCTAATCTTGTTGTATTTCAAAGAATAATCATAATAATAAGAACAACAACAATGATAGAACTGCAAAGACTCTGGCTCAAGTCAGTAAAGGTGGTCCCAATGGTGATCGGCACACTGGGTGCAGTGCCTCAAGACCTTGGCCTGCACTTAAAAACAACTGGCGCTGACAAAAATTACCATCTGTCAGTTGCAATGCCCCTGTGTGTTACCATCCTGTGGGAGGCTTCACTCATGTCCCCACATGGGAAGCTGGAGCTGACAGATGGGAGCTCACCCCATCTCGTGGATTCAAACTACTGACCTTCAGGTCAGCAGTTCAGCGGACACAAGGGTTTAACCCATTGTGCCACCACAGCTCCTCATGTAAGAGAAGCTTGGAGAACATGATGGGCTACGTAGTGGAAAAGATGGCAGAAATTTAGTTCTGGGTGAAATGGCACTTCTTTATTGATTTGGTCCACAACTTGGGAAAACAGAAGGTGCTCTTGAGAAAGCAAAACAATTGCTTCCAACTTCAGTTGGGATACAGTCTGTATCCCATCCTGGAAACTGGTCGTGCCAGGAGTGACTTGAGAAACTGCAAGTCGCTTCTGGTGTGAGAGAATTGGCCGTTTGCAAGGACGTTGCCCAGGGGACACCTGGATGATTTGATGTTTTTATCATCCTTTGTGGGAGGCTTCTCTCATGTCCCCGCATGAGGAGCTGGAGCTGTTAGAGGGAGCTCATGACGCTTAAGTTGCTCTTTATGTGGGGTCCTCTTGGGTTTTTATATTTGTACTTATTGTTATTGAGTCATTGAAAGTTTGCCTTTTTGTTTGTTGGAATCTGCCCTGAGTCCCCAAAGGGAGAGAGGGAGGAATAGAAATAAAGTTTTTTATTATTATTAGAAACACAAGAAGGGTACACAGCAAACAAGATCACTCTGCTGTTGTTGTATTGGATCACACATCAGACACTTCCCAAGTGTCTAGGACTATGTGATATATCAATGAATAATGCATGCAGATCCCAGTAAGGTGGTCTTTTGCAGATGACAGATGGTAATTTTGTCAGCGCCAATTGTGTTTAAGTGCAGGCCAAGGTCTTGAGGAACTGCACCCAGTGTGCCGATCACCACTGGGACCCCCTTCTTTGGATTGTGCCAGAGTCTTTGCAATTCAATTATTAGATCCTATTATTATTATTATTATTATTAGAAACACAACAAGATTAGGTAAAGGTAAAGGTAGTCCCCTGACATTAAGTCCAGTCATGTCTGACTCTGGGGTGTGGTGCTCATCTCCATTTCTAAGCCGAAGAGCCGGCGTTGTCCGTAGACACCTCCAAGGTCATGTGGCCGGCATGACTGCATGGAGCACCACAACAAGATTAGTACACAGCAAACAAGATCATCATCATCATCATTATTATTACTTATTTATTTATTTATATAAAATACACACCCACACACACACACACACACACAAAGAGCTGAACATCATCTTAGGAACAGCTTTCCTTCTTCACTAGGCATGGGAATTGCACAGCCACACATAACTTGTTGGACTGCAATTTCCAGCAGTTCTATCTATCTATCTATCTATCTATCTATCTATCAGTCCTCCTGATCGATCTCTCTATCTATCTATCTATCTATCTATCTATCTATCTATCTATCTATCTATCTATCCATCCATCCATCCATCTCATCCATCCATCCATCCATCCATCCATCCATCCATCCATCCAGCCATCCATCCATCCATCCATCCATCACTTCTACCCTGCCCTTCTCAACCCCCAAGGGGAGACTCAGGACGGCTTACAATCGGCACAATTTGATGCCAACAAACAGATAAAATACATAACAGAAATAACCATAATAGTTAAACCATTCAATTAATACCATAACATCTAAAAGCTAATCTAGTGGCCAACGTTCACCGAGTTCTAAAATCCGTAATTCAGCATTACCATAGTCCTTTCCAGATTCTGGTCGTCATTACCTTGTCAGTCTGCCAGATTACCCAAAGGCCTGGTCCCATATCCATGTTTTCAGCTTCCTTCTGAAGGAGAGGAGGGATGTTGATGACCTAATTTCCCCGGGGAGTGAATTCCACAGGCGAGGGGCCACCACTGAGAAGACCCTGTCCCTCGTCCCCACCAGCCTCACTTGTGATAGAGGCGGGGCCGAGAGCAGGGCCTCCCCAGAAGATCTTAAACTCTGAGGTGGGACAAAGAAGGAGATACGTTCGGACAGGTACGCTGGGCCGGAGCCGTATATTCTAGCCAGCATTGCCGACAGAAGGAATGCTGGGAATGACAATTTGGCAGCGTTTTGAAAGGCCAAACAGTTCCTATCCCAATGCTCTTTACCCTCATAAAGAAGAGAGAGTCTCTTCCAAGATAGTTGATGCTTTTTATCATTTTCTAAGGTTTTATCCCCGATAAAATCTTACTCTTTTACTCTTACAGAATGTGGGATGCCTGGCTCGAAAGCAGTACGTGTGAAAAAGATCTTGGAGTCCTCGTGGACAACAAGTTAAACATGAGCCAACAATGTGATGTGGCGGCAAAAAAAGTCAATGGGATGTTGGCCTGCATCAATAGGAGCAGAGTGTCTAGGTCCAGGGAAGTCATGCTACCCCTCTATTCTGCTTTGGTTAGACCACACCTGGAATATTGTGTCCAAAGCCCTAAATGGTTCTGGCCCGACCTACCTGTCCGAACGCGTCTCCTCCTATGAACCAGTTAGGACATTAAGATCGTCTGGGGAGGCCCTGCTCTCGATCCCGCCGGCTTCACAAGCACACCTGGCGGGGACGAGAGACAGGGCCTTCTCAGTGGTGGCCCCTCGGCTGTGGAACGCCCTTCCTGCAGATATTAGATCGACCCCCTCCTTGCTGGCATTCCGGAGGAAAGTAAAGACCTGGCTGTTTGAACAGGCATTCGACTAAGCAGTGTGATTGATTGACTGACTATCGGAACACGGAATATCGGATAACGAGTTTGGATTCTGATTTCATTGACGAGACCTGATGGATTTGTTATATTGATGTAGTGATGTATTGATATTGATGTTTAATGATTTGTGATGCTATTGCTTTTAAATGCTTAATGATTTTGTATTGTGTATACCTAACTCGTTGTAAACCGCTCTGAGTCGCCTAAGGGCTGAGAAGAGCGGTATACATATAAAGTAAATAATAAATAAATAAATAAATTATGGGCAGCACAATTCAAGAGAGACATTGACAAGCTGGAATGTGTCCAGAGGAGGGCGACTAAAATGATCAAGGGTCTGGAGAACAAGCCCTATGAGGAGCGGCTTAAGGAGCTGGGCATGTTTAGCCTGAAGAAGAGAAGGCTGAGAGGAGATATGATAGCCATGTATAATATGTGAGAGGAAGCCACAGGGAGGAGGGAGCAAGCTTGTTTTCTGCTTCCCTGGAGACTAGGACTTGGAACAATGGCTTCAAACTACAAGAAAGGAGATTCCATCTGAACACGAGGAAGAACTTCCTGAATGTGAGAGCCGTTCAGCAGTGGAACTCTCTGCCCCGGAGTGTGGTGGAGGCTCCTTCTTTGGAAGCTTTTAAACAGAGGCTGGATGGCCATCTGTCAGGGGGTGATTTGAATGCAATATTCCTGCTTCTTGGCAGGCGGTTGGACTGGATGGCCCATGAGGTCTCTTCCAACTCTTTGTTTCTATGATTCTATGATTCTACTCTTTTCACCGGGATCCTGGGCCATTGATGTGCACCAAACCCAACACCGACGTTCTCATTTACGGTTTCCAAAGACATGAACCCTCTCCTCTCCAATTCTTTAGCAACCGTCTCCATAGTCCCCTGTCTTCCCAAATATCCACATCCCTAGGAGATGAGGGAGAAAGAATCCATGCTCCTCCTCTTGCAAGGCAATAATGTTTCCAAGGAGGCTTCCCCTGCTACCTATTGAGAATTACATTTGGAAACAAATTAAGTGGGAAAGTTCACTGGAGGTCAGCATTCTGCAGGCTGAGGTTGGGTTTCCCAGCCAGCCAGAAAGTCTTACCGAGAAATAATGTCCCCTCTGGAGTCAAAGGCCATGAGGATCCCTACCTTTGACAGACAGATCATATAGAGGTAAGGCAATCAAAGAAGCAAGAAAAACACTCTGTGTTGTCACTTGACGGAATTTAAAAGCTATGGCTGGTTTCTTTGGTAACACGCATGCTGAGAAAAGGCAGGACTTCCCAGCTATTCTGGTCTGCAAACAGCCCATGTTTAGAGACTGACAATTGTGGCAAGTCTTCCTTCCCCACGCAAGTTCAAGCAATGCACCAAACCCTGAATCGCTTCCTATTGCTACAGATCATAGAATCATAGAATCAAAGAGTTGGAAGAGACCTCATGGGCCATCCAGTCCAACCCCATTGTGCCAAGAAGCAGG